GCCTTTGATCCCACCACTCAGGAGACAGAAGGAGGCGGATCTCTGCGAGATTTCAGCTCTACATAGTTCCAGGCCAGCTGGGGTGCAGAGAGACCCTGTCTCCAAAAGACCAAAGAACTATATAGGAATGGCCTTTCCCTTTTTTTTTTTTTTTTTTTTTTTTTTTTTTTTTGAGACGGTCTTCTTGTAGCCATGGCTAGCCTAGAACACACTGTGTAGGGCAGGCTGGCCTAGAAATGGCCCTTTTTAAGTTGATCTGGGTTGAAGATTCATTGAAAACTTAGAGGAAAAAAACAGTGCTACTTAACCATTCATGTATATTCAATGACTAAAGCAATGCTATTACATAGTAAGCATTCAAAGTGTTGACTAGCTGGGTGGAATGGCTCCTGTAATCCCAGTGCTTCACAGGTGGAGGCAGAAGAATCACCTGTTGGAAGCTCCCCTGCGCCACCTACCCAGACCTTGTCTCAAAAGCATTGAAAAGCTGGAGAAATGGCTCAGTGGTTAAAAGCACTAACTGCTCTTGCAGAGGGTCCAGGTTTGATTCCCAGCACCCACATGGCTAACAACTCTTCTGTCTCCACAAGCATTGCATTACATGGGTGCACTTACATACGTGCAGGATGTACATTCAGACACAAAAATAATTTTTTTTAAAAACATTGAGGCTGGAGAGATGGCTCAGTGGTTAAGAACACTTGCAGAAGACCTGGGAAAGTATGGCAGCTAACAATTGTCCATAACTCCAGTTCCAGGGAATCCAAAAGCCTCTTCTGTCCTCTGGGCATAGCATGACACAGGTGCACTTAACCTATATGCAGGTATAACATACACATAAAAATAAATTTAAATTTTTTTTAAAGTAATGCTGTCAAGCTATTATTCAGAGAAGGGTGTTTTGCTTAACCCTCATGGTAGGAATTCAACAGTTGAGGACATACTGCCCAACTTCCATAAGACAAAAATAAAGGTAGTGCATTGCTGAGTTACTGTAGCAGCTGTGTTGGGTTTTATATGGAGTGTTGGGTTTTTTTTTCCTGTTTATAGATGCAATTCATACTTTCCTAGAATTTGGACAATATGAAAAACACAAAGTTCAAAATACAGCCACCTACCCAGGTGTGCATCTTTAATCCCAACACTGGGGAGGCAGAGGCAGGCAGATCTCTGAGAGGGAGGCCAGCCTGGTCTACATAGTTCTAAGCCAGCTGGGGTTACAGGAAGACCCTTTTTCAAAAAAAAAAAAAAAATACAAAATATAGCCAACCAGAGTTTTCTAAACATTCGGTGATAGCTAAGGATACTGTTTAGGAGTAGGGTTCTTGCCGAACTTAAGAGGTCCTGGCTTCAGTCTCTACTACTAGTCCTGTAAATTTTAACTTGGGAGATTAAAGGAATGTAGAGGTCTCAAGGCTAGCCTGGGCTACATAGACAAACTGAAAACCCATTTTGGTGACCATTAATATTTGGTAATTACACATGCATGCCTATTTGCATATAAAGTAGAAAATTACATGCTAATTTGCAGGCTTTTTTTTTTCGTCTTTGAAACAGGGTCTTGTGTAGCCCAGGCTAGCCTTGAACTCACTATGTAGCTAAATATGACTTGGATTTTTGATCCTCTTGCCTCTACCCTTGAAGTGATGGGATTAAAGTTGCCACAGGGCCCAGTTTTACTTAGGGCTGAGGATCAAACTCGGGGCTCCAAACATGCTGCCACTGAGCTTTTTACTTTTTATTGCAGGACAGGGCCTTAGGAGTGTTTTGGTCAGCCAAGAGTATGGTGACTCTTGCCTGTGAGCTCAGCATTTTGGAAACTGGGACAGGAACATTTGCATGAGTTCAAATTGAGTATGGGTTACAGGGTGAAACCCTGTCCAAAAAAAAAGGGGGGGGGGAATGGGGCTAGAGAGATGGCTCACCAATTAAGAGCCCTTGTGGCTCTTGCAGAGGACCCTTGTTTGGTTCCCAGTACTTATATGGTGGTTCACAATTTTATAAATATAGCTGCACAGAATTCAATGCTTCTTACCTCTAAGAGCACCCTCACATGACACATACAGACTCATAATTTAAAAGAAAATCTAAATGAAAAGTGTTTAAGTTAATGTAAAATATCTGAATATGTCTTGATTTTTGTTGTTTCTGGCTCAGACTTATTTTCCATGTTCCTCATCAGTAGCTTTTGGTTTTGAGGAGTTGTTTTGTTGTTTTATTTTGACAGATTCTCTGGGTGGATTCCTGTTTGCTATTTGCTGTGTATGTAGACCAGGTTAGCCTCAAATTTGCAACAATCCTTTTGTTTCCCAAGATTGCAGTTGTGCACCACTGGGCCTGGGCATCAGCACCCTTTGGGTACATCATATACCACAGAGTGGAAAACAGCACAATGTCCCATATCTGTATGTTTGTTCAGCAGGCAACAAAGCCAAACTTTTCTTCCTACTTTACCAGTGTGGGTGCTGCAGGTTAAAGGTTGAACACTTGCAGATCAGAGGCTCTGGGTTTGATTCTTCAGTAACATAAAAAGTTTAGGATACAGACCTGTAAATGAATGTAGACAGTATCTGAACCACATTTCAGAACACCTATTTTGATTTCTTTGGGGCTTTGGTTTTTTGGTTTGTTTTTAAATTTATATGATGAGTGTTTTGCCTGCATCTTTATGTGTCATACAATGCCCTCAGAGACCAGAAGAGGGCATGGGATCTCTTGGAACTGGAGTTTCAGACATGTTAGCTGGCATGTGGGTGCTGGAAATTGAACCCAGGTCCTCACAGCCAGTGCTCTTTACCATCTCACTAAGCCTTTCTTATTTCTTTCTTTCTTTCTTTCTTTCTTTATTTATTTATTTATTATTATTTTTTTTTTTTTATTTTTTGAGGTAGTCTCCTTACTAGTCCCAACTGGGTTTGGTACCAACCTGCCTCTGCCTCCTGATCAAAGGTGTGTGCCACCAAAACTACTTTGATACCCTGGGGTATGTGCTGGGAAGGGGTACCTCTCCTCACCGGTGGGGGGGGCGGGCTACTGATGGGAAGGGAATACAAAACATCCTGCTGCATGCTTAGGACAAAAAGAATGCCGCTGGTGCTGGAGGAAGAAAATTATACGGGACTGACTGCCTTACAGACTTAGCAAGAGGACTGGACATGAAGCCACAAAACTACTTGTGTTCTCATTTGCTCTTAGCTGCTGCAGCACTCTGCTTGTTGGCAGCAGAAAACTGTTAAAATCTAGTTATCCTGAGACTTCATTTTCTGACCAAGCTCACACTGGTTACAGCCAGGTACTCTCCTACAAGGTGTGTTTCAAGTTTCATGGCAACATGGGTAGCCCAAATAGTATGTGTGAACAGTTTGGGAATAGGCTGAATTCTAGAGTAGGAAGTTCTGGATCTACCAGTGAGGAACTGGGTTTCTTACACTGCAGAAGATTGCAAAGGATCTTTTCCTAAAGGAAGGTAACAACAAGCAGAGGACTCAAATTCTGGACTCAGAGCATGAAGGAAGCCAAAAAGCACTCACAAATGAGGTGTATTCATAGTGAGTAGAAAGGGTCTCAGTGCTCAAATGTCATGGCATAGTGACCCTGAGGCTTGCTTTAAGTGAATGAGGATTCTCATCCTGACGAATGTCTCAGGATTCAAGCTTTCCCATAGAATATGGTTGGCACAGTCTAATCCCAAAAGTGGAGAGGTTTGTGGCCAGCATGGCTACATAGTGATCATGTGAGATAAATAGTGAAATCTGTCTCAAAACTTTCCCATTGAATTTTTTTCTTTTTTTTGTGGATATTATAAGCATGTGGTTTTTAAAAGGATTTAAGTTTCATTTCTAAGTTTATTTTTACTGTCCAAGAGAAAAGACTAATGAGATTTATGTATGTCCTGTTTCAAATATAGTGTATTGTCAGGCGTGGTGGAGAATACCTTTAATCCCAGCACTTGGGAGGCAGAGAGAGACAGATCTCTGTGGGCTCAAGGCCAGCCTGGTCTACATAGCAAGTTCCAGGCCAGCTGGGGCTACAGGGAGACCCTGTCTCAAAAAGACCAAAAGAAAAAAAAATCAAATATAGTGTGTATCTAACATCCAGATTTTTCACAGTCTTGTTTAGTATCATCATAAATATATCTTAGAGCTTGCCAATGATAATAGGAAATGTGGCATAGGCCAGTGCACCAAGAATTATAAATTTGAAATGCTTTTTGTGTGTACATGTGTCAGAGACTTTATGGAGTCTGTTCTCTCCTTCCACCTTTATGTGGGTCCTGGGGATTGAACTCAAGGCACCAGGTTTACCAGGCAGGCTCTTAATTTACCCAGCGTCGTCTTGCTGCCCCCTCCCCCACTTTTGAGGCAAGGTCTCATAGCCCAGGCTAGCATCGAATTTGCTATGTAACAAGAGGATGACCTTGTATTCCTGCTCCTCCTCTTCCATCTCCTAAGTGCTGGAATTACAAGTGTGAGCTACTACACCTTCTGGATTTGGAAATTCTTGAGTCTAACTATCCTTAGTTTGTAAGAGGCTCAACAGGCAGCATAGCTTGCTGGTATTTCATGTATGTATAAAGGTTCATCTTAAAAATATGTGAGAAGTGCTTGTAGATCAGTTTGTATGCCTGTGATTTTGACTTTTATTTATATCAGGATTTCAGTGACATCGATGCATGTTCTTAGAGTGACGCTGTGTACATCTGGGTGGGTGCATTATCTGGATGTTCCACATCTTTGTATCTTCGTTCCCACCTCCCATCCCACTGAATCCCACCATTCTGGCAGGGCGGGTGACTGCGGAGACAACCGCCTCACAGAGAACTCGACCACACTAGTAAACCCCAAGGTTTTACTCCAGAGGGCCTTTTGCTCCAGCACATATGCTCATCTCAGACCGAGAGACCTTTGGCGTAAGACGTTCTCTCTTGCGCACCTCTAGTGGCCTAGGTGGGCAGCGCGGACCAACGAGTGGGCGGGGCCGACTTGACGGAAATGAAGTCACTTCCGGGCTGGGGTGTTTGTTTGGACTGGAGCTGGGAGGCGGCGGGCGAAGCGCACGTCGAGCGGGGGAGCGGCGCTGCCTGTGGAGATCCGCGGAGGCCGACAGGATTCGTTGGCTGCCGTCCCCGCTGCCGTGCACTGGGTGAGGGGTCCCCGTGAGCGGAGCGCTGCAAAGGGCGTGACGACCTCAGCGGCCGAGGGACAGCCCTGGGCGACGGCTGAGGGGGGCCCAGGGGTCCCTCCGGCTGTGGGCCGCGGAGTCCCGTCTGACCTCGGCCATTCCTGGCCTCTCCACGGAGGCCGAGGGACGAGCATAAGAAGGCTCCATCTCTTTTCTCAGAAATGGCCGTCGCGCCTTTCTCATTGTCATTATGATTTCGTTCTCTGCAGCCCTCTATCCGGGTCTTTGGTGGCGCGCGAGCGTTGCTGGGATTGCACTTTATTGCGTTCCGCGGTCCTCAGTCCTTGGTCTTTTCCCCCCGTACCTTGTCCCCTGCCCCCCACCACTGCCTCAGCAACAAAGCTCATTGTTTCTACCCACTTTACGCCTGCGCGTCGCCACGCGCAGCCCCTTGTTGCGCGTGCGCGCTCCTGTCGTTGCTGGGGTTTGGGGAGTGTAGGGGCGGGTGTCTTAGGGGAGCGCTCCGTAATGATCGACCGGCTTGTATCGTTTTCACCTTCTTTCTCCCGCTTCTTCACCTTCTCTACCCTTGTTTTAAGCCTTACTCTATCACACGCTTCAGATAGGAAGGCCTTTGTTTGGGGGTGCTGGGGATTCTTACTGCACGGCTGTTTGAGCTAGCTAGAGTTCAGTGAGTTCATAGGCTTTGGTACTGGACCTCTTACCTTTCAGTAATCTGCTTATTTTCTTCCCCACCACTATTACAAGAACAGGGGCTGGGGTAAAGGTTTCTGGTGAAGTTAATCTTAACCATTTGTTGGAGCAGCCAGCTGTTATTTTCTAATGAGTGCTAAAAGGCTTCCTTTTGTTGTCCTGCTTTCCATGATTTTGTAGCTCTGAGTCTTACAGAGACCTCCGGGGAAGATCCTGGTTTCCACTCTGCCTTGGGAAAGGTCTAACATAGCTGACAGCCTTCAACGTTTATTTCAACAAACTCGTTTTGCATGTGCTGGCTGAGCATTTCTTGTACCATGGTGGCACGTTCTTTCACAAATTTCACGTGAGCAATTGAGCAGATGTTTGTATTTTCATTAAGTAGCTTTTGAAAATTCATCTGCTTTCCGTTGTGTTTTCAGATAGGAAAAGGGTCTCTGTAAGGACTTGAATGAGATCCAGTATTTGCTGTTTTGTGGTTTCTGGTTTGTGAATGACAGGATACTGGGATGAATCTGTTACTTTGTGTCACTTTAGTGACTTTGAACAGACCCATTCTCACAAGTATATATCACAATCAAAGATGGGTAACTTCCAAAAAATTATACCCTCTTTATCTTTCTTTAGGGGATGGGGGGAATGGCAATTCACTGTAATGGGTAAAGGTTGTGTGCATATTGCTCCCAGAGAACTCAAATCGAGGTAGGTAATTTCTACCCTCTTTGGGACAGAGTAAGTTTATAGCAGGTTTTTCCTTTAATAAGTAGTAAGTCTTACTCAGCTTTATTACTTTATGACCCTGGATAGTGATGCCTTTGTTTTAAAATTATAAAATGCCCACTGTTAGAACAATTTAGTGGATATTGTGGGCGATTAATAAGACTATTTTTAATAATCTTGAATTTTCACCTTTCTGTAATTTATAAAATATTCATTATCATGACAACCTGTGACAGATTATTTTTATTTAGAGAAATATGACATTTAATAATACCAGGCATTGTTCTACATGCTTTTATAAATATTAACTACTTAAATCAGATGTAGTGGCTTGCACCTGTGAAAAACAGCACTCTGGTGGCTGTTGAAACTTGAAATATGAGCAGGGCATAATGGTGCATGCCTTTAATCCAGGCATTTGGGAGACAGGCAGGTGCAGATGGAAGCCAACCTGGTGTATATAGCAAGTTCCAGGTCTGCTGGAGCTACAGGGAGACCCTGTCTCAAAAACAAAATAATGCCAGGTGTGATGGCTCACGCCTTTAGGGAGGTAGAAGCAGACGGATCTCTGAGTTCAAAGCCAGCCTGGTCTACATAATGAGTTTCCAGGTCAGCTGGGGCTACAGGGAGACACTGTCTCAAAAAGACCAAAAAAAAAAGAAAAAAAACCCAGAAAACTTGGAATATGGCAGGTGCAACAGAAAAGCTAAATTTTAATTTAAATGGTTGCATATAGCTAATGGCTACCATTGTAAATGGTATAGCTCTGAAGAGTTTGAATTACGTCTTAAAATACCAGTTTGTCGGGGCTGGAAAGATTACTTAGCGGTTAAGAACATTGGCTGTTCTTACAGAAGACCCGGGTTCGATTCCCAGCATCTACATGGCAGCTAACAACTGTCTGTAACTCCAGTTCCAGGGGATCCAACAGCCTCTTCTGCCCTCCGCGGGCATTGCATGACACGAGTGCACTTACCTACATGCAGGCAATACACGCATACACATAAAATGAAAATAATAAAATATTAAAAAAAAAAGTTTGTCTAAGTTAGGATAGTGTTTGTGATGTACTTGAGCTTCTGGTAGTAATGGTGGAGAATGGATAGCCATTCTTATTCTTGCCTATCACCTTCTTACATTATGGTAGAGAGTAGGGTTATATAACCCTTTTTTCTTAAGTGCTTAGGTTAAACACAGGGTAGTTGTCAAGGACTTCACTATAAGTAAAATCTCCAGCCCTTTTTAGAGACAAGGTCTCCCTAAATTGACCAGGCTTGCCTTAAAATTGACTAGCCTCCTGTCTCTCTGCTTCCTAAGTAGCTAGGATTTCAGATGTGTGCCCTGACTGGTTATAGCCTTTGTTTAGGATTTTTCTGTGACATTGTGTCATTCCTACAGGTGTAAGACTTGTGATTTTTAACTTATCCCTTGCTCTAAAAGCTTAATTGTTCTAAATGATTAAGCAAGTTAAACTGAAAATGGTAGCATAGGCCTGTAATCCTAGTACTCAGACTGAGGCAGGAGGATTGCCTTGAGTTTGAGGCCAGTCTGGCCTACATACAGTGTTGAGACCCTGTCTCAAAAAAATAAACTCCTGTGGTGCATGCTTGTGACCCCAGCACTCAGGAGGTGTAGGTAGAAGCAGCAGGAGCCCAAGACTACTCTTGGCTATATAAGACCCTTTCTCCAAAAAAGAAAAAAATAGTTTTTAATGGTTAATGCCAGGTGTTCTGCCTAGGTATTCTCAGTATTACCCATTTTACATATGAAGGCTCTGAGACTCAGGTTAAACGTACTCATCCATTACACAGCTAATAATAATACCCAGACTGATTATAGCTGTCTCTTTTTTAGTCTTTTTTTGAGACAGGGTCTCCCTATAATTGCAGCTGGCCTGGAACTCACTGTGTAGACCAGGCTGGCCTTCAGTTCACCTGCCTCTCCCTTCCAAGTATTGGGATCAGCACTGTTTTGTTTTCTTTTGAGAAAGGATCTTGA